AAAAAAAAAAAACAAAGATACAATCCCTCTCAATGTCAGTTGTTCAGTCCCTCATGAGTGTTACTAAAAGTCAAATATTGCACCTAGATAAGACCTGATAAAGAATCCAAATACACACTGAACTTTCAAAATTAAAATTTAGTTTTGTATTTTGGCACCATTAAAATAATATCTAAAATAATTACGGGCAAGGAGAGGTTACAACTAAATGCAATGCGAGTTCTTGCATTGGATCTTGGACCAGAAAAACAACAGCTGTCAAAATTTGAATAAGGTCTTTATGTTACTTAATAGTATTCCCTGGATCTGATCCTTTTATTATGGTTACATATGATGTTAACATTGGGAAAGCTAGGTGAAGACTGATATGGGTGTAGTCAATACTATTTTTCCAACATTCCTAGAAATCTAAACTTATTTCAAAATAAAATCTTAAATAATAAAACAGAATAGGAAAAAGGTACTAAAAAATTCATGAGTACCTTAGATATGAGATCTAAAATTAATGGTCAGAACAATAATCGTGAACAAATACCTCAAACTCTAAATCCACCTCAACTTACTTTTTGGGTTTCACAGTTTGGTTCACAGCTGTGATTCATGAAACGAGAGCAATTTCCTTTTTGAGTGGCATCTATTATCTGGGAGAAGAGGATCATTTAAGAATTTTTAAAAATACCTTAAATATTCATACAATTACCCCCAAAACTACATACATGTCTTATGCATCAATTAAAAAAAAAGACTGGGCTGCAAAACCTAACCAGTTAAGGCAGGGCAGTGAGGCCTCCTGACTACTAGCTTCATAGTCTTCCCATGTAAACAGCTCAGTTTCCATTATTTCTAACTGAAGACAAATGACACTGTAAATTAAATTAACCCATTGAATCAAAAAAAATTTACACATTTTACAAAGGAAAAGCATTAAGACAAATGTAAGATGCATGCAATGCACACGCACACACACATACACACTCCCTTACCCCCACTTTGCCCTTGCTTCAGAGAATTGTCACACTACTTCACATTTCAAAGCGACAAATACCTAACTAATGCTTTTGGAAGATCTGCTAATTATAAACTTTGGCCCATAGGCAAAATTATCTTTATCAATGTCTCTCCCATTTATCCTTAGCCATTTCTTATATTCTATTACATCCCAATCTCACTGCATGGTATAATACTTCACTTTAAAGTGTGGGCTTGTCACAATGCCCTAGGTCTCAACCTTGAGTGTGTATCCAAATCCCATGGAGAGTTTGTTAAAACTTGCTGAACCCACCCCTAGGGTTAAACTAAATAGCTCTAGGGTTAGATCCCTAGAATTTACATTTCCACACTGAATACAGAGGCAGATATATGAGAATCGAACTGAATTCTATTAAGCCAGACATTAAAAAGATTTATAAAAATGTAAAGCGATGCAACTCTTTTCACTAAAAAAAAAAAAAAAAAATTTAAATAATTATTTTCCAAGGCCAGGCACAGTGGTTTATGCCTGTAATCCCAGCGCTTTGGGAAGTTGAGGCAGGAGGACTGCTTCAGGTCAGAAGTTTGAGACCAGCCTGGGCAACACAGCAAGACCCTGTCTCTAAAAAAATTTAAAAATAAGCCAGGCATAGTGGCATGTGCCTGTAGTTCCAGCACCTCAGAAGACTGAGTTGGGGGGACTGCTTGAGCCCAGCAGTTCAAGGCTGCAGTGAGCTATCATCATGCCACCAATCCCCAGGCTGGGCTGTAACAGAGCAAGACCCTGACTTT